GCAGCGCCAGGCGCTGCCGGGGATGCAAAACGACCGATAAGAGAAGGAAAAAGGAATAGAAAAAAAAAAAAAAGAAGTGTAGGAGAAAAATAAAACAGGGAACAACTGCGAACCTCGTGCTCCTCTGCGCGGGTCGGGGCCGCGTAAAACGGCCGAGATCGCGGGGTCAGGTGAGAATGCACCGATGGGATGCACTTTCAGGATGCTTCCCCCCTTTATCGCCGGAACTCGTGTGCAATTACCGTGAGAGTAAATCGCGAGCGACCGAAAGTGTGGGAGGTGGCGCAACGAAGTTACTCTTTTTCTTCCCCCCTCTCGTCCTCTACATATTACGCGTTAATCGCGCGGCATGGGAGTTATAAGGTGCAACGGGCCTCGGCGTACCTGTCCTTTTGTGCAATAAATGTGTCGCGATACATGCAATTACCCGAGCTGAGTAGGGGCTCGATCGATATTTGCCAGTCCCGACTATGCACGAGCACGTACCCATTAGAAGATCGTCAAATAAATACGTTTTGTAAACTGTGGATCTTTAAAAAAAAAAAAAAAATGCATAAATTTTTCTGGGAGTCGTTGCACCGGACGGGATTATTGGAGGTGATCGAGAGATGTGAGCAAGCGGCGGAATAGGGCTGCGGAAAGGTCCCCGAAAATTTGGGGAATTTCGGTGAAAATCCTCGATTGGGTGGAAGGGACGATCGGAAGAGCCGAGTCAGCCCGGAAGACGAGGGATGATAGAGAAAACCGAACGAGGGGGACCGTAAACCAGGTTAACCGGGTCGGCCAAATTGAGTGAAAAGCTGGAAAGGGCGATATGCGGCGCGTTATGCACCTCGCGGTATGAATTTATGCATTTATGCGAGAGGGACTGTGTCTTTCCCGGGGCGAGAAAAGCGCAGGAGGATTCGAAGATCGAGATCGATCGGCGCGGGGCAAAGGAGTGGATTTTCTCTCGCTGGAAAGCTCGCGTTGACCCGGGAGGTCTTTCAGGAAAGAAAAAGAAAAAAACATATAAGAAGAAAAAAGATAAGGCGGTCGAGAGTTCGGGTCAAGAGGTTATACGCCGATAGGGAGAGAGATGCACCTCCGCGATACCTGTCCACTTTAACCCCGCGTTTATGTAAATTCCGGCTAAACAGAACGAGGGCTCCTTTTGCGCCTTCGGGTCTAAACTTCCGGGGGTCGCGCCTCCACCTTGCACTTCCGGAAGGGTGCAATTATTCCGGCAAAGGGAGATAGCGTTAAACCGAGAACGGGGTCGAAACGCTCGCGAGGCTAATGAGGAGGAGTTGTTCGCGTTTATTTCTCTACGCCCCCCCCGTGAAAGAAAAAAAAAAAAAGAAGGAATTCCACTCTTTTCAGCCGGAGCCAAGAGAGGTGGAGGACCACCATCGAGAAGGGAGGAACCGTGGAATGTATTGTCGCACCCCGGGGAAGATCGCAATTTTTCGGGTTCTCTAACCCAAGGGTCCGCGAAAAGGTGGAGGGGCAAAGGCCTCCAGGACCATATTTCGGATCCGAGCTCCGGCGCCTAGGTCTCGGGGTCCTCCACCAGGAAATCCACTTTCAGGGTCGAAATCACCCGCCAGGTCGGAGGACAAAGCGGCCAGGTAGGTGTCCTGGCATTCGCAGGGGTCGTAAACGCACCTTTACGGGGTGCCTCGCCACGCAATTTACGCATCCACGGGGGTGGTGAGTTATGGGTGGAGGTGGAGGCGCCTCCAGGGGACGAAAAAGGGCCCGGGGCCGAGGAATCGAGAGAGGGCCGAATCGTTGGAAGGGCCCCTCGCACAATGGGCAGGTAGGTGTCTCCCCAGGTAGCTTTTCCCTGACTTTCCCTCTTTCCCTCGGGCCATTGTTCCCCGAGGACCCTCTCCTCGAGGGCAAGGTGCGCATCCAGGGCTCGACAGGTGAACGACGTTTGCTCAGGTGGCCGCCGCCACTTCGTGGGCAGATCTCCGTCGAGAGACCTCGAGGGAATCCACCGACGTCAGGGATGATACCGCACGCTTATCGATAAGGCGAGAGAGACCGCTCTCGAAAGTCGCGTTTTTATCTTAGCACCGTGATTTCCTCCGGGCTTCCCTTCGCGGCTCGATACATCGAGACGTTTTTTAATCGATTCTTAATAAGAGGAAAACGGTAAAGAAAATGTAACAAAAAGTAAATATATAAAGGCAAGCCGCGCCATTAATGCGCGCGTTAACGATAATGGCTACTTAACCATCGCTCTACTTACGCACTTGGCCTCAGTTTTATCATTACCGGCGTAATGGTTATTATCACCGCAAATTCGGTGGCGTCGTTAAGTAATAAGAGTTAATGTCCCGCGGGTAGAGAGTGGGAAAGAAAATGGAAAAGTGAGAAGGTTCGTCCAAATTTTATGAATTATCAGCGATGCACCTACCCTCGGCGTGGAATATTATGGAATGCTCAAGAGTGCGTATTTACCGGCGCAAGATTTATTGCTAATATTTATGCCCGACGGATTTATGGGGAGGTTGTTTTACATCGGGTCCTTTTAAGCCGGGAATAAATTACGAGGGAGGAAGAATACGGCGAAACCTCGAATATGAATTATCATCCGCGGTAATTGGTAATCACCGATTTCGGAATTGTCGAAGAATCGGCCTCGATTTATTCTTCGCGATCGACCGGCGCAATGTCGATTAATCGATTTAACGCCGCATCTCGCCGAGGTTAACTAGTCATTCCTGTAATCCGATTATCTTGCATTACAGATTACAGCACGCGGCCCGGAAAACAATTCACTAACGAACCGGCGAATAAACAAATGGTTGCAAAAATTTCCATCGTTATGGAAAAAAAAAAAAAAAAAACTGAAGAAAATACATTTTGTCACTTCTTTGTTCCAGCAGTACTAGACGATGATTGTATACTGCTAACGTAGGGTGTGTACGTGTAAAATCCAGGACAATATGAATATAAAAATAAAGTATAAATGTTTAAGTAAAGCCAGCCCAAAATTAATCCCCACACTATTTCTTGTATTCTACTAAGAATACGTTTTACTAAACGCTTTCCAGGCGCATTACACGAGCATCTACATATCTTTAAATTACGCCAAATAATTTCTGCCATTTTCCCCCGTGGGAGAAAAGAAAAAAGGAAATCGAATTTTTCCAACCACGACCGGACCCCCGGGGAGTTCGCATTAAAATCCCCATCCCCTCGTCTCTTCTTCCCAGCCTGCCAATTAATTCATCCGACTTTAGAAATCCAGTTTAAACCCTCGACTCTCGTGTGCACTTTAGAGATACCCCCGTCCCGAAATTCCGGGAGGCACCCCGGGTTAAAAAAAAAAAATTAAAGAAAGGAAGAGGGGGGTCTCCTTAAAAGAATGCCGAACAACATCGAAGGTTAACGAGACCCTTTCCCTCCTTCCCAGGGGATGCTTCCGACATTTTTCACGTCTTCCTCCGGGGTCGTTGAATTAAAATCAATCCGCCCTCATTATGCCGGACGAATCAGGAATAAAAAGAAAAAAAATTTCTCGCCGATATCAAACAGGCGACGAGCACCTCCCCCAACGCCGGACTCCTTCCATTTAAAGGATATTAATAATCCCATCCTAGGTTTTACTTGCAATGCGATTATACGTCGAACTCATGAAAATTCCAAGATCGAAGAGTAAAAAATAGATAGTAGGGAGGAAGGACTGCTCGAAGTGAAAATAAAAGAAATGAAAAATAAATGAGACGTAAGGCAAGAATTACTGGAGATGTCGAGCCGGTCCTTTAACAAAGGGCGATAAGACTCTCGGTTGGTTTAAGTCCCGGGAAATCGGCGAGAGAACTAGGATTTTTCCAGGCTTTTTTTCCCACCTCTTCCGAGGTTACGCGAGGGTATAATGAAAGTTTTTACCGACGAGGTTTTTAATATCTGCCGGCACACAACGGCCAGCCGTTCGTTTCATAATTAGAGACGCAGATAAAGCAGCTCCCTCGAAAATTCATCTGCCGGGGCTTTTATTATATTTTCGGAATGAGCCCCCGTAATTCGGCGGAATGGAAATTGAACCCTACCTCGGGGAGGTTTTCGGGACCTCGAGAGTCGGGTCTTCAAAAGAATTTTTTTTTTCTTCTCAATAGAAGAAGAAAAGAAATATCACATTTCCGAGTGGACCTAGAAGCGAAGCTCGAAGAGCCTCTCTATTTTTTTCTACGCGCAAATACATCCGGGAGTAATATTTCATTTCTTACGAGAAATTCCCTGGAATTTCCTGAATTTACCTGAAAACCCTTTATCTGCATTTCTCTTAACGGCCATGTCTCGCAACAAGTACAGATTCTAGGCTCGCCGTTAATTCACCAATACCACTGTCCGGAAATTCCCGGGATTCTTAACTGGGATTCGTGTATTAACCGAGCTCGCACACGCATGCAAATGCGTAATTAGGCTTAAGGAGGAACACCGACCCGAGGCCGTAAACCACCCGGGGAGGACGAATGCCGGGAACAAAGGCAGTTTTAAAGTCGAGAAGCATCGGCGGGTTTAATTTCTCGAATTCACGATTCCCCAGAATTTTCGAGGTTAGTCCTCGATATCAACTCGAAAGCCCTGGAATTTTTATTTCCACGCGCCCCGCCAGCATTCTCTCGAGTTTACGCATCTCGTGCACTAATTTGCCCTCTAAGCGAGGTTTTAACCTCTATGGCGAGGTATTTTAACGAGAGCGTCCTTCGCAGTTCCTTTCTCGCGAGTTCGTCGACTGGGCGTACCTGCCGGGAGGTAGACGCGCCTCGCGAAAACCGTTGGGCCGGCGTTCGAAATTCAAACTGGCGCGGCGCTCCCGCGCCTCGCGGCAGCGTTGCACCGGTTGATCGTCGATTCGAGGTCGATCGGCGTCTCGAGATCGACCCGCGATTCGGCGACCCTGGGGAAAAATCCATCGCTGGATCCCCGACGCGTCGGAATGCCGGCGCGACGCGCGCGAACGGCGCGCAAGGTGGACCGGGGTTGTTTTTTATCTCACTCACCTGCAAGGTGCAGCAGCACGAAACAGGCGGCCACTCGCCTCGCTGCCATCGCGAAACGCCCGTCGCTGGAAGCCGGCCTTCGCCTCCTCCGGATACCCTCTCTCTCTCACGTGTCTCCTCTGCCGTACTTTTTCTCCTCGCCACTGGAATCACTCGCACGACCGATTTCCCGAGTTTCGGTATCTCGAGCGAACGCTCTACCTGCGCGGGCGGATCGGAACTCCTAGGTACGAGCTGACGTCGGTGGTGCCGCGGTCCTGGGCTCGCACGACGTGTCGTCACGGTGGCCGATCTCGCACTGTGGCGGGGAGCGCGCCGAGCGCGCTCGTCTTGCGCTTCGGCCGTTTCCGCCAGCGCTCGGCAGCCACGCTCGCTGGCCGACCGCGCGCCGCTGACTCGCCCTTTCCCCTGGACCCGATCCAACGGAAATGTCTCGCGGTGAATCAACGCGCGCTTCTACGTAGCCGCGTTTTCTAAGGTGTAGTCACGGTTCCGGTGTAAATGTCTGCGATAAATTTTCCTCAAATGTTCCCCAGGCATGCCGTTTTAACGTGTTATGCCTTCCACGGTGAATATGGATGACGCGGAATAATTAAAAAGCCGACATTTTTTGGCGAAGGTAAGACGAAATGCATCTACGATACGTTGCAGTTTCAGGTCGAATCGAACCCATCGTGAAAATATTAGGCTCTAGAAAAGCTTAGGTAATGTTAGTCCTTGAGCACATATAGAAATAAAATTCTAATGGTTTTATAGCTATTACAATAACGGCACTTATCGGAATAGAACTTGGCACGATGCCCTAGGAGGCTCTCTACGATGCTCCTGCTAAATGCAGTCGGACATACCCGGCGGAACTCTTGGAATCTTTTGTGGTATTTGCATACCCTGGCCTATTCATCTCTCCTTTAATTAACGATTCATTGACTGGAAACGATTGTAGTAACGTGACTGATCTCCACAGGAAGCATGTAGGATGAAAAAAGAAGACAGGTAAAGGACTTTCCGGGACGCCGCCGCCATCTTGGATTCGTCGTAGAGCGTTTCTTCTGGACCAGGTCCCGATGCCGGTCGATAACTGCGAGTCGCACTCATAAGGCCAATTATGCAATTGAAGTAACGAGAAGGAAGGAATCCGGCGTACGTAAATCGACGCATATACCGAACTAAGGAATGGCGGAGAAATTCCCGAACGTGGATTCCGATCCTGCATCCCAAACGCAGCTGTACATGCAAGGTATGCCTTCGGATACCGTTCGATCTCTTAAGAGTTCCCTTAAGGGTAAGTCTTGATTTAGTACTCTCGGTTATTATCCCGAGTATTATTCTTGAGAAAGTTAACCTCGTTATAAAGTCCGCAACTCCTTATGGTAAGATAGAAAGGGGGATATAAAGAAGTTACATGCAATAACTCCATTTTCTCCGTTTTAGACGACGTTAAAGGCCCTGCGATCTACGTATAAAAGAAAATCCACATTTTTATGGATCGATTTATCGTCAACGTAGTTGAATGTGAAATCAGCCATCCCGGAACACCAAGCGGGTCTCGGAATTGCATCTAGTGAGCAGATGGAATTTCACCTCAAATAGTCTGAAATATTAGCTCGGGATATGACTGTTTGCCGTGAGATTTGTCAGTGGCGGTGAAAAATACCAGCGCCGTAGTGCCGACTCATTGCGACAAATAGAGACGCTGCAAGTACTTCTCGGCTTATGCCCCCGACGAGTCATGCGCGTTGCAGCATCCACGGCGAACTGCAAACAACTCGCTGGTGCAAGACTGCCATCGAATGTTCTTGGCAGTCCGCAAAAGCGGATCGGTCCTACCGTAATCAAATGGCAATTCGCTGCTCGCAATTTGACGTCGTCTGTACATCGCACAGCGGATATGACGCTAATTGCCCTCGGTTACCGTCTGTTTGCCTGCGCCGCTAATTGCGCTGAGAAAAATTTACAGCTGATACGAGGGTGGAATGGAAGTTCCCAGGTCTTATTAAACTCTAGCACACGGTTTCCCTAGGCGACGAATCTTGCAAATCGATGGAAACCCCTAGCGCCAACTTTTTCCATGACTCTCCTGTACTTCTAGTTTAATAAGTACAAGGCGAAAATTCGAAGCATATTTCCCTAGACACGTTTTCAACGTTTCATGGTTCCGTACAATTTTTTTGACGTTTCTGTGATGTCACCTTGCATCGTGTTCTATAAGAAAAGTTTTACTCCACGGGAGTGCCGGCAAGTCCCATAGGGTTGGAAGCCGCTTCCCTTTTCCTTTGCCCCTGCCTACTTATTTGTGCTTTTCCTTTCAAGGCACATGGCACCCGACGAGACCCCCACGAATATTTAGACGATCATACGAGAAAACCGCCTAGGTTTACATTGGGGAGCCGCAGACTTTCTCCCGGTACATGGCCGGGGTGGTGTCGTGAGATCGCCTCTTTGTTTGTCATTTGTCAGCCCGTTGTTTACGCCAGGGCGGGGCAACTCCGTAGGGGTCGGCAGAGTTTCCTTTGGGATAACTCTACCGTCTCCTTTCCACTCTTCGCCAAACGTTTCCTTCGCCAAGGCTCGAATTGCTGCGTCAAGTTGCCCGCTCGAACGGGTCGATTCCTCGGGCTCCACCTCGGCGGTTCTCAACGTTGGCATTCCCCGATTTTTCGCTTTTAAGGGTCACTTCCTCCCCCCGCGGGTGCACCGCGATGGCATCGACGGATCCACCGTCTCGGAATCTCAATTTCTTTTCCCTTACTCACGGGAAATGGGTTTGATGAGAAGGAGCCCGTCGATCCCTGCAATCATCCAAGATGGCGGTGCGGCGCCAGAGGGCGCTGCCCGAAGGCGGCCCCAACCTCGTTCCCTTTGCCAGGTTATTAAATACCTAAATCTTCGCTAGTGCATAAAGAGGCAGCACGCCGGCAAGGAAAAACGGAAACCAAGATGCCGAGCGAGCCGGCGCCAGAGACGGGAGAGGAGCACCGAGATTACTTTTGGGAATTATTGAACGCCCAATACTCGAACTTTCAAACGGTTACAACCACTTTCAGTCGTTCACACTTATGCTCTATATATCCGACGCTAAACTCCGTGCTTAAACGAAACCTACCAGGAACTTAACGAGAACTATAACCCAACAGTACCGGAGAGCGGATAATTTAATAAATACCCGATTCTGTTCACAAGAAATATTTATTATTGTCAAGCAGCAGCGCTGGGCAGTACTTCATCGCGCTGGGAGCGGAGAACAAGAAGCAAGCAACGCGTCTAGATGTGATTAAAAAAATAAGAGCTCGTCGTTAAACTAGGTTATCCAGTTCTTGTTGTCGCAAAGACGTCGACCGGGGATGTAGAGCCACGGTTGTGTGCGTGGAACCAGGTTGGCTGGCGCCTGCAAGGCAGGCAGCCAGGCGGGCGCCGCGGCCGCGGAGGACCGTCGCGGCAGGAGGAGGACGGAGCGATCGGCCGGCCCGGCGCGCGACGAGGACGGAGCGACGGGGACGCAGTCAGTCGAGCTGCAGCGGCGCGAGAGAGAAGAGCGCGGGGTCGCGGTTGTTCTGCTTCGAAAATCGTCGGACGTAACAGCCTGGAAGACGGCGCGGCGCATCGTGCGTCAGCGGCCGAGGGATGCAGGGGTCGCGACGTAATATCGAGAAAATGTTTTTTTCTCGGGAAGAAGGCGCCATGACACTTTATCGGGAAACGGGCCACGTGTCGCGAGGTGATCATCGCCGCCGGCAGGAGCGAAGGCATTAGGAGCAAGGATGGCTTTAGGAGCAATACGCGTTCGGGCCAATCGATCGCCCGATGCGAGACGAGGGCGTTAAAGAGTTCGCCGGATCAAGTGGAAGACGGAAGAATCCAGACAAGATGGCGGCCCCCACCCTGCGAAAGACGCCGACCCGCCGCATGCATTATACTCTGTACATGTTCTAGACTTTGTACCCAGACAATAAAGTGCATATAAGTAAATGGCGGTAAAAAGTCACTCCTCCTCTCCTCTAACCTCGACCGAGTGGTTTCTCATTCGAGTCGCCTAATTAAGGAACAACTGCACTGCTCACATTTCCCAGAACAAATTGGGGTACCGTGTTCACGTGTCTCTGACACGGCGCTGCTTGCGACAGCTTCACAACCTTTTAGGGTGACTTCGTGTTTGCTGAACCTTAATAGTTTATCAATAGAGCTAGATGGGATCACGAAGGGCTAGTTGGGGTCTTGAATATCGCTTATTCATCCTTCCGGGTAACCCGATAACGATTAATAAGCGGTATATCGTAGATTATAAACGTTGGGACGTTCATCCGTATAGGTATATCGTGATGATAAAGCCGAGAAAAAAAATTTGTCTATATATGATAACAAATTCAGTAGGCATTTTTTAGAAAATTGTGCACTTAATAACGTATAATTAATCTAAGAAATGTTCGGGTATACCTTCAATTTCGATTAATTCACATTTCTCGGAGGTTAGAATTTCTCGACGGGAGACAGGAAAATAGGTCCCCCCATACTTTTCGTTTATTCTGGCTGAGTCTGAAAAATTCTATTTGGCTTCTCGGAGAGAAAATAAATCAACCTTGACAAGGTGGTACATTCGTCTCGTTATATACCACCTTCCCAGGAAGATAGCATTTTTCTATGGGGAACCGTATCCAGGACGAACAGTGCTCACTTTCTGTCGTAAAAAGGACCCATTGTGTTACGAGCTCCTCGACTCGTTTCTCTTCAGGGTAAACTCATCTACGGAGCGGAAACCGGAAGTTTGGTACCGGTGGCTATTTATTTTTCCCTTTACCGTCGGTATTTCGACGAGGTCAGAACGAACATGTCGACCTGTTGGGTGACGTCGAAAGAAAAATCAAAGTAATTGCAAAAAGAGGCCATGCATAAATGCGATAAAAAATTGACCGATTACAGACATTCCGTATAATGACCCGTAAAATCCAGATTTGATAATAAGGGGTAATTATTAATTCCAGGAATGGGGGGACAGTTTAAATTCGAGAAAAATACCGCATCCGAATTAAGGGAGAGATTCCTGGGGATTTTTCTCGACGCGATTTTCTGGTCGGACGCGCTTTTCGCAGCGATCGATCGACCTAGGGAAACATGCCAAGCAGAGAGAAGAAGAGAATAGAATAGAGTCCTTGTCTATGGCTGGATGGCCACCATAGGCCGAGACAGATGCACACCCCGAAAACCTCCAACAGATGCAATCGGCGCGCAACGCCACCGTCCTCTCGTCGAGCATTGTCGAGCCCTAATCCGATTACATGGCCCATTGAAG